GATGTGACGACCGGGTCGTAGGAACCCTACCGGGATTGTGTCTCTCATACCGGACGGGGTATGAGACCCTAAGTGTTTGGCGCCCATACTGGACGGGGTATGGGGACGGCCCGTTTCACCCTCATACCGGACGGGGTATTGAGGTTTATAGTTTTGGCACCCATACCCGAACGGGGTATGGGGACGGCCCTGGAATCTGATTATAAGTGTTAAGGGTTCACGGGTAGCAGGACCCCTATGGATCCCCATGGATACTAGTAGGCTGGTAAAAGAAGAAAAATATGTTATGTAATGATTGAATTACAAAAGGCGTGATAAGTATTATGTTATACAGTTTATATGATTTCATGATGATGATAATGTTATTGCTTTCGTATATTGTTTTATGAATTTCACCGAGGTAAGTAGATGGTAAGAGTTTTATTATTGATAAAAGGATTTGTTGTAAATTATGCTCCATTGGTCTTTTTGTGTTTTCTACCCATCTTTACCTCCGTGACGGTGAGATATCGTGATGTCTTTACTGGGCTAGTGTAGGTCATTCCTTATTTAATCATTTCAGATCAAGAAGACATTGTTCCCGAGCCCGTTCCGCAGGAAGATGACGAAGGGGACGCTTAAAGACTCCATAGTCATATTCATAGCTTTTACTTTCGAGTTTCTCTTTTAGTTAGTTTGATCTTTTATATTTTGAGCACGTTTTTAGTTTTAGTGTAAGGGATGTTAATCGAAATTTTGACTTCGCTTCCGTATTTGACATTTTTAATACACATATTTCATTTTAAATTTCCGGGGCCGTTACAGTTGGTATCAGAGCCGCATTTCCTCGGACCCATCCCTTACACAATAGCGCCTTAAAGAAATACTCACCGATATATCGTTACTCAACCATTCCTTGTGAATGCAGGTACACGGAAATGAGGAGAGGAAGGCCCCCACTAAACCGAGCGGCCCAAGATAATTCGCTTCGGGAGGATTTAGACAGACTATTTGAGATGGTGGAAGCTCTCGTAGCTGCCCAGCAAAGGCGAGAGGAGAGAAGGGAGTTACCCGGACCTCCTCTGCTATCGCAGGTTGAGCCCCCGCTACAGCAGGCTGATCCCGAGCCACCCTGGTAGGAGCCTGCTCCTCCACAGTACCACCCGACACCACAGCCGCAGTACGACCCGGTACCACAGCCACGGTACCACCAGGCGCTGCCACAGCACATTCCAGTACCCCCACCACATCAGCAGGTGCCACCACAGGGTCCCCCAGTTCACCCTCAGCCGGCCCCAGTCCCTCTACCTCGGGACCCCGCTTCTTCCTTGATCGACCCCGGCTTCATAGAGAGGTACAGAAGACTGAACCCTTCTACTTTTGCAGGGGGATCCTCTTTTGAAGAGGCCCAATACTGGCTGGCAGAGACTGAGATAGCTTTCGAGACCTTGGGAGTAGTTCCTGAGCAGAGGGCTGTCATTGCCTCCTACATGCTGGTAGGGGAAGCAGTGCGCTGGTGGGAGCTCAAGCGGACCACCCTGCCTACACCAGCTACTTGGGAGCAGTTCTTAGCGGCATTCCACGCGGAGTATCTCCTTAAACACATCCAACACCTAAAGGAAATGGAGTTTGCTCAATTGGTCCAGGGAAACATGACAGTGTCGGAGTATGCCCGTAAGTTCCTGGAGCTAGGCCGACATGCCCCGGAGACGTTGATGGATGA